CGACGGGGCACCCACCAAACGAAAAACAAAATTGATATTTTTATTTAGTTCCGAGCATTTTCATGTTTATCTACCTTTTAAACCTTCTCTGGACTTCCACAAATAATTCAAGACCAAAATTGGCCAAATCGGTCGAGCCGTTCTCGAGTTTTACTCGCACACTCTTTACATATACGCAGCTGCCTGCTTTGTCAGTCCTCTAACAAGACTATGTAAAATGGTTTATTGTAATAAGTTACAGTAGTATTTGACAGAACCAAATTACAAGAGATTGTTTGAAAACGCTGATACATGTTTTTGCTTCTATTAAGTGTATTTTATATAAAAATTACGAATGAAAATTATTATTGTAAATTTAAAACTCCTGAAAGAATTTAATAGCAATCAACCTAACTGTGACACGAGACTACCATGGAAACTATGGGGTGCTGGTCTGAATTTCCATGATAGTATCTCCGTTGTATCGCTCCGGAATGTACTTGTCTCCCATGTGTGCTTCCGATACATATAATATAACAGATTTTTGTCTGTTTGTGTCATGGTCACCACTATGTTTTTTATTTTGTTTTATTGCTTAGATGGGTGGACGAGCTCACAGCCCACATGGTGCTAAGTGGTTACTGGAGCCCATAGACATCTACAACGTAAATGCACCACTCACCTTGAGATATAAGTTCTAAGGTCTCAGTATAGTAACAACGGCTGCCCTACCCTTCAACCCGAAACGCATTACTGCTTCACGGCAGAAATAGGCGGGGTGGTGATACCTACCCGTGCGGACTCACAAGAGGCCCTACCACCAGTAAAATTAGATTTACCGAAAAAAAAAAAACAATAAATATAGTGTTACCTTTCATCATCAAAGCAGCAGCCAGAAGAGCTCCGCCGCCACCGCCTTTACCACCTCCAAAGCCACCCCCACCACCACCACCACCGGATTTCCTTCCAATTGATTCCGGGTCCCCTTTCGCCATATCCATAGCCTGCTTCGTGGTCTGAGGATCTAGCAATTTGTACTTCAACGAGTGCCCATCCAGGTAGTCTTGGAGACGGTACAGCAAGAACCTATTTAGTTTCTCCTCAGGTTTTCCTGGGTACTGCTTCGATAATTCAGCAGCTATTTCCTCGGCCGTAGTGGCATTAGTCTGATTCTCTCTGATTATACTCAATCCGGGCAGAAGATGCAGTTCCTCCCGCGAACTCAAGTCTTCCAAGAAAGATAGAGCGTGCATTTTCAAGCATTTAGCACTGAGTAGATTAGTGCATTCTTTAAGGCCGGACCTGGAGGTCCTGTCCGAGGTTCGGTTCTTGACATCTTCACTCACTATATTGGCTTCCGTTTCATCGATAACGGCTATCGATATTTTAGCACAGCACAGCACTAATACGATGCATTTTATAAACATTTTCGTTTCACTAGTCACGGAACAGATTGTTCGAAGGGACTGATGTTGGATGCCGGTCCCCGATTTATTTTATAGCGATCGATTTCAAATAAAAACGAGATAGTCTTGAAGACAACAAAATAAATAAATAAAAATCGATTTGTTGACGTTAAATCGTAGAACTTTCAAACAAATAAACGAGTCAAGTGAAAAGTCGAAAGTGTCGCGAATCGATACGGATATTTAATCGAGTTGAATCGTTTCGAATTATGTAATTTGGTATCGATATTTAATTAAGAACTGATGGTATAATGATGAGGCGGTGAAAAATAAATTAGTTTGGTTTTCCATTGTAATTTTTGATTTTATTATATTAATTATTAGTAACAGCCTTATCTGATCAAGGTCGCGTTGGTTAGAGTCTGGAATTAATGAGAATATTGTTACTAATTTTGGTGTTGATAATAATAAAAAAGAAGTAAAATTAACACAATGATCTAGAACAGTTATTCTCAACCACTGTTCCGCGGCACTTTTGTGTGCCGCCAAATTTTAAAAGTTGCCGCCAAATTTTGCGAATATATAATAATATTAATATTATTAAATTATATCATTTTAAAACAAAAATATTTTAAACATGAATATATATTTAAATCCACAAAAAAAAAAAGTATATTTGAGTTTATTTCGTATATTAACATTTTTTTATAAACTATTTATGCAGTGTGTTGGAGTAAGTAAATAATTTTTATCTTTTTTTTGTGTGCCGCCAAATTTTGTAATCGTTAAATATGTGCCGCAACAAAAAAAGTTTGAGAATCACTCACTGATCTAGAGACTATACTGTCAACTTGTTTTTATCATCGTTTCCATTCTCTCTAACACATATGGGTAAGTAAGCTCGCAGCTCACCTGATGATAAATAGAAATCTTAATGTGAAAAATTATCCAACTCGAAACATAAAGGCTATCTTGTTTAGATCAGGCATAGCAATTGTAGTTAATATTATTAGTAATATTTATACTTGTATAAATTAACCCACAGACACAGCCCACTGAGTTTCTCGCCGGATCTTCTCAGTGGGTCGCGTTTCCGATCCGGTCGTAGATTCTGCGAAGCACTGCCCTTACTAGGGCTAGTGTTAGCAACGCCGTCAGGTTTGAGCCCCGTGAGCTCACCTACTAGTTCGGTGAATCTCGAGTAACCCTTCGAGGTAACTAGAAAATGTAGGAAAAAAAAGGGTTGGCCCTGCGATTGTACAGTACGATTGAGACGTCGATCTCAAGCCTCAAGAACGACTAAACTTTCATTTGTGGGTCACGGTCACGGTGATGGCGTGCTAGACGTGTAAAAAAGCAAAAAAAAACTTCAAAGTAGCTTTCTCTTTCCGACGTTTTGTATAAGAAAGAATAAAAAAAATATATACAGAGATTTGCGGTTTAGATGAAAGTTTCATGGAATTAGTCTGTAACACTTATTACATGTAACTTAAAGTTTATATTTCACCACAAGTTTCGTTTGAATTTTCATGTGTCTTTTATTTTGAAATGGGTTTGAATTCCGATCCCACATCGATATGACATAACAGTGGGAGGGGTTATAGCTTCCTTTTTTTTATGATTGAAGAATTACTGGTGGCCCGGAGGCCTTTCCACTTTCATCAGGACAGGCGGGCGAGCAAAGGCTCAGACAGGAGGGGTGGGATTTGCTAACAGCTACCCGAGCGCCTCCGAAGGAGACCTAATAACTCAAGAGTAGCTGCTTCGCGAATGAATCTACTACCGGATCGGAATCGCGACCTGCTGAGAAGATCCGGCGAGAAACTCAGCGACTGATTCATGGGTTAGGTTGCACGGCGAACTCTTTGTCGAGTTCGACGAGTACGGTTACCGAACTGTAGCTTCCTTAACCCTTTAGTATCTTCTCGCCCAGTGTGTATTACTTATTTCCGCCGCGAAGAACTTAATATACTCCTCCTCCTCGAGTCGTGCTCCTCATGTCTGAGGGTCGTGACCACCATCACCCATGAGCTTCAATCTTAGGATCTTTTTCCACTTTCCCCTGTCCACGGCGTCATGCAGCGCGCTGTACACTGTACTGTCCAAAGCGGTGCGGATCTGATTGGACCAACGAGTATGGCTGCGGCCTCTAGATCTGTTGCCTTCCCTGTGATCATAAGTTTTAATAATATACTAAGATATAATATAATATATAAGAATAACCGCTGGAAGCTTGGCTATTGAACTAATCTATCTGCTGAAATAAGTTCACTGAGCTCTTTGGTTGCACTTTTCAAAGTTGTAAATTAACATTCAATAGAATTCTCGTAAAAAATGTTTTTTTTTATTGCCTTTGTAGGCAGACGAGCATACGGCCCACCTGATGGTGAATGGTTACCGTCGCCCATGGACTTCAGCAATGCTAGGGGCAGAGCCAAGCCGCTGCCTACCGAAATAACAATTAAATGAACAAATCGTGTATTGGTTTTAACAAGGAGTGTTTTAAAGGTGAAAGTTAATAAATAGGGTAGAGGAAGGAAGACTTGCCTGGCTTCCTACGAAATGTATTTAACCAATGACTTAGGTATTTAGTATTTATAGAGGACCTGTTTTAGAGTCTACATTCTATTTTTTTAATTTATATATTGCTTAGATGAGTGGACGAGCTCACAACCCACCTAGTGTTAAGTGGTTACTGGAGCCTATACATATCTACAACGTAAATGTGCAACCCATCTTGAGATATAAGTTCTAAGGTCTCAGTATGGTTACAACGGCTGCCCCACCCTTCAAGCCGCAACGCGTTACTGCTTCACGGCAGAAATAGGCAGGGTGGTGGTACCTACCCGTGCGGACTCACAAGACGTCCTACCACCAGTAATTGCACTGAAGTATAATTTAGAATAATAATATATTTAGTTTAGCCCGTTGTTGAAACATTCGCCTATATTTTTATTTTAGTTTAAGTAGGTGGTTTTTTTAACTTTTTGCTATTAAATTCTGCCACTAACATGTGTAGGTTTATTGGGCAGCCCTAGTAACTATACTTTTTAGTATTACACCAGTTTAATTCCACTATCAACGTATGGATAAATCTGAAACCAAATTATGGAAGTCAATTGGTATAAAAATATATTGGCTTAATTAAAATAATGAACATTTTGAAAGAAAAGTAAATAAAACATAATTTTTTATATTTAAAATATTTTATTTATCTTTGGGTGCTGAAGATTGCAAAATAAAAACAATATTTATAAATTAAACTATGATATCACAAATAATACATAATAATCCATAAAGCTCAAGTTATAATATTTAGTATGCATAAAAATATATATATGTAAATTTTACATAATTTATAACAAAAAATAATAGATAAACATATAAATAATCATACTAAAATATGATAGTATACTAAGAAATAAAAAAAAGCAAATTAGTATGAACTAATTTAAAATGAAATGAGATAAAGTACATTTATTACATAAATAAATAAATGAATGAAAATAAACATCAAGATAACTATTATGGCAAATAAACAAAACAAAAATGGCGTGACTTATTCTAAAATAAATTAATGAATAAATAATAATAAATGTTTTCGTACATCACATATTATTTAAATTTACATTTAAAGTTAAATAACTTTGTACTATTCTAGAATGGGGTGAGAAAAATGAAGAGTTGAAAGGTTAGCTGAATACTTACAATTTCATATAGGAATGAGTATAGCGCGTTGAATCAACAAAATTAACAAAGCAGTAAATAGTTGCCTTAGACTTGAAGAGCAGATCCATCGTGTCTCACATGAGGTCGGTGGCGTGGCAGTCTGATCCAGAATCTAGTGTCGAACCAGCGGCCGTCGCTAAGAGTTACACTCACGAGACAGGAATCAAAGTTGTGCCTCATATGTCGAGGGCGCACTCATCAAATGTATTTTCATTAAGCACTATCATTACGAGTATATGTTCTAAGATTGTATACATTAATCGATCCATGTTAGTTTAATATACGCCAACACTTAAGATTGAGAAGAAGAAATATTTTTTTGAAATGAAAAATATAATTTAAGTATTTTGCATTAGTTATAATAAATTAAATAAATTATTTGTTGTCGAGTATTTTGTTGGTGATTGAACCAAAATGAACAATGTCGCTCAAAATTGGGCAATTTGCCATCACCTTCCAAATACTCCCCTACTCTTCTTAGCGTCTCCTCACGTTCAAATTCCTTCCGTAACCAGAATGTCCGTAGCCGCCAACATCCTCGTGAGCAGTAGAATGAGAGTGAGAGTGAGTGTAAACGGGCTTGGATACGATTTCGTATGTGGTTGATTTTTGGCCTCCAGAGAGAGACTTGAGACCGATGATACCGGAGAGCAGGAGCGACATCATGGCCGTCATCAGAGCTTTCCCGGCGAGCAGAGCTAAGGCTCCAAGCCCTATGGACATGAGGGTACCTGTGGAAGAATGGGAATTTAGAAAACTTTAGATTATAGCCAGCGTATAGTTAGAACCAGCGGTCTTGTCTATTTCTGCGACAAAGCTTTTTATATTTTTTTTCCCTTGTAGGCAGACGAGCATACGGCCCACCTGATGGTGAGTGGTTACCGTCGCCCATGGACTTCAGCAATGCCAGGGGCAGAGCCAAGCCGCTGCCTACCGCTTAATACTCTCCACAAGCCTCGTTTGAAGAAGGACATGTCATAAAGCTCGGGAAACACTCATTCCATTATATGGGTTGATAAAAATATTAACTAATTACGTTTTTTTAGTGCACGCAATGTAATGCAATTAGAGCAACCTTTCCCAAAGTGGGCGATAACGCCCCTTTGTGGGCACTGCAGGCCTAAAGGGGGGCGGTAGCAGACACAAAGAAAAACTAGGGGCGTTGTGTAGAGGCTTGATAGGCGATTTGTAATTTCATCTAGGAGGACTCTTAGACACCGACTGAGCTCTCGCTATAGTGGTTTTTTAATAGGTGAAAAAAGTGGGCGCTAAAAAATTATTTATTCTCAAAGTGGGCAGTAGACAAAATAAGTTTGGGAACCTCTGAATTAGAGTGAGCAGTCGTACGAGGTACGTTAGAGTATTCGTGTAACTCAAGGAAGGTAGCCCTGCTGTATTCTGGATTCGTGGCATGTCATAGAAGAACCTACAATGATTCATAGTTGGTCAAGTTATTTATTAGGGTATATGAGTATGTGACCCAGACTATTTTTAATTACTACTGAACTCCGTAATCCTGATGGCATTTCCTCAATCAATTTCTCCCTATCAGGCTCTCTCTGTATTCCTCTCTAATTTTCCTCTGATTTTGATGTTGGTCATTCGCTTCTTGACCTCTACGGGCCCTCGTAGCTATACCAGAGAGCCGCGTCTTTTTTTTGATAATTTCATCATGCTGGGTTTTTTTTATAACCGTTAGACCAGCATGGCTCGCTTACTTCCCGTTTCGGTGGGCAAATACTTGAACTCATTTATCTTCTATATTTGTATTACTTTCTTGGTGTCCAATATTGTATAATGTGTCTGTCTCTTACGATCCAAAAGCACATCTCGCCTCCATCTATGTGAGAAGACGCAACCCTGTTTTTTTTATTTTTTTTTATTGCTTATATGGGTGGACACACTCACAGCCCACCTTGTGTTAAGTGGTTACTGGAGCCCATAGACATCTACAACGTAAATGCGCCACCCACCTTGAGATATCAGTTCTAAGGTGTCAGTATAGTCAGTATGTTACTCTATTTTAAAAAGTAGGTTATCTCGCACAGTCCCCGTGTGCTCAGTTATTTTTGTTAATAAAGAAATTAGAGAGCGGAAAATAGCTCGGAAATCCAATCAAGATGACTATCGGTACACTTGCCGTCTGTCCCTGAAGCTAACTCGCGTGACGTTATTATTATTAAAACAGCATGTCGAGTCTTGTCGAGTCCGTTTGTGTCAATGCCCTAATTATTTTTCGTATACTGGTCGTACGACCTCTTGCGAGTCCGCGCGGGTGGGTACCACCACCCTGCCTATTTCTGCCGTGAAGCAGTAATGCGTTTTGGTTTGAAGGGTGGGGCAGCTGTTGTAATTATACTTGAGACCTTAGAACTTATATCTCAATACGGGTGGCGCATTCACGTTGTAGATGTCTATGGGCTCCAGTAACCACTTAACACCAGGTGGGCTGTGAGCTCGTCCACCCATCTAAGCAATAAAAAAAAATCGTTGTCATTCCTATTATTTAGGCGAAGGAAGCTCCACTAAGCCGTGAATCCGACGAAATAATTGTAATGCAATTTTATACTCTTATCTTCAGATTATATTCGATCTTGTTTATCGTTTAGTAAAACTAGTTTAATCTAAATACGTCTGCACATATACGTCACATGATAAGTAAATTCGATTTTTGAAATTGATTTCAAATTCAAATCGTTGAACTTCGAACGCGACCTTCCATTAACTAGGCATCACCTACAGCTACAGTATACTTACAGCCTAATCGCCAATTAAAAAAAAAACAATTGCAACCGTCCAGTCGCCTCAACTGAAACTTCAAATCTACACGGACGGTGGGCCCAGGCACAATGTACAAATTATGTACCGTTTTGATTTCATTCTTAATAATATTTGACGGTAGAAAAATATCCTAAAACTTGAACATGCTTAAACTACAAAGTAATAGAAGAGTATGGTTCATTTAGTTTATTAAGTTGACTTTTCTCAGAACGATCAACACTTTATTTTCCTCTTAGTTAACCTCACTTTAGCGGTTTCTTACGAAAAATTGTTATGCATACATCTATAATAGTTAATTACAATACTGTGTGTAGTATATGCAATAGTTAATACCAGCAAAATTCTATTAAGCAGGATGAAGTACGAATTTTTGTGGTTCTTTTTTTTTGTTGTGTGTTCACAGAACGCTCTATAACTAATAACAAGCGTTCCTAACGCATTTGAAATGTTACAAGTAAATGATTTGTTTATATTAAACACATTTAGCAAGGACGTGGACACCCAATATCTAAAATGCTAACCCACTGGGAATAGATTTGAATACTTGTTAGCACACATAAAGTACACTCTAAAGAATACAGTTTCAGGAAATGATAATTGAGTATTTAGTGAGCCTTCAAATACAATCAACTATTTGTGGAATCGGGTGTGATTCCGTGTTGAGAGATTCCCCTCTTAAAAACGAATATTTGTAGCCGTATACACAATAATGAAAGATAAAACACGATATTGAAAAGTGTGATCTATATTTTTGTGTTAATGTTACAATGGTTTTGTACACCGTAATGTGACCGAAAATAGTTGATTTCGGGTTTGTACACTTAGCTTTCTGGAAGATAGAAGACCGCGGTTTCACTAAAAAATAAATTCTTTATTTGGCCTGAAGGAAGGACTGGTTATGTTTAGACTTCCAATTGTTATTGATAAAGCGTAATCTACTTTTTCCGTTTTTTTATTTATTTATATAATTTTGAACAATTTACTTTTACAGGATTAAGCCTGATTCAATGGAAATGTTTTTAAAAACAATAATCGTATTGGTAAACGCTTACCAGTACTTACGCTGTGCTTGTGAGTTCATTCAAGAAAATAATAAAAAAATATGTTTACTTGTCTGTCGGTTTTTGTCATTTGAAATTGATTTTTTTTAAGTGAAAAAATAATAGCCCAGATTTTATACAGAGCTTATTTGTGGAGAGTGACGCCTAAGTACTTGAAGTGTGTACAAAATTATAACTAGGATATACTCTTTTATAAATGTGTGATGATTTGTTTGTTTAAAAGTTACATATTATGCATCTACATATGTACGTCTGCGTAATTGTCAATCAAGAGATAATCTAATTTTCACTTTAAATATACAAACATAAGGTTGATTGATTTGCTCACGTTCGTATAACATTTTTTTTTATTTTTTTACTTTTTCAGATCTTGTTACATTGTTAACTATATTTGATAATAATGCGCGATATAATTTCTTTCAGCGTGGACTTTGCTAAAAATTAATACGCGAGAAATTCCCGTTACAAAATAACATAATACTTAATGATCAGGGATGACTATTGGAACAAAAAACTCCTTTTTAAACACATACCTTTCATCAAAAGTCCTGCGGCCATTAATCCTCCCATTCCCCCTTTCTTCCCGCCTCCTAATCCTCCTTTCCCCCTTGCTTCTCCGACCAAAGCCCTGGCCTCCTCGGCGGCTCCATCATCAAGCAACCTAAGCCTCACTGTATGAGAATCTAAATAATTCCCTAGAGAGTACAAAAGGTACTTGTCTATTCTCTCGTCAGGCTTCGAAGGTAGAGCCCTTGCGAGCTCAGCAGCGAAATCTGGTTTAGTTTCATTCTCCTTCAAGTCTTCTTTAACAATGCTGACTCCTGGTAGAAGTTTTAGCTCCTGTTTCCCGTTTAGTTTTTCCAGCATAGATATCGCTTCTATTTTGAGGCAGGTCGGGCTGAATATTCCTCCGTTGCAGTCGACCTTGGCTCTACCTGTAGCCTCGACTGGTTCTGTGGGTTTTGGTTCAGGGTTCGGGAGTCCAGCAACTGCCGCCGCTAACGTTAGAATGTACATGCGATACATATCCAAAGCACGTCTGTTCCTCTGCGTTATTTGATACAGTTTGTAATGGCTATTGTTTCACCAACTTATTTATACCTCGCCGTATATTGGCACCACGTACTTTTGAGTCTATTATATTTTCATAGTACGCTGCCTCCGGCGATGTGTTTTTCTCATACGATTTTCGTCTTAATGTCATTACGTTAACATCTAATGTCGTCTAAAGTTGTCCGTTAGTGTATTATCTGATTCATTCGGTAGTGAAGGCTCACTATGTTCCTACGTGTTCATTTTATGTATTTTTAATAGGATAAACAACAGTTTCGTAGTTTTTAATTTCATAGTTTGTCGCATCTTTTTCGCTAAGTAATTTTCGAAGGAAAAGTTTTTGAGAAATTAATTTGGTTTCGTGCGTGCGCTACCCAATTTTATATCGGATTTTTTATATTTACGTAGGACTTGAAGAGACACCATAGCCTGAACTGCTTACCCGATTTTAGAGATAAAATCGAAGTCTCAAATAGTCTCAATAGTATTACTTAAATCTGTCCCAAAATTCAAATGAACGTATTACTGGTTTGCAGCAGAATGGTGGTACCTATTCGTAAGAAAAAATAGGGCCTACCAATCCCGAATTACTATACGCCTCTTGTTTAGTTTAGAAGCCATTAAATATTGTCCTACTATTTAAGTCTTTCTTTCAATTTATTTTTTTATTGCTTAGATAGGTGGAAGAGCTCACAGCCTACCTGGTGTTAAGTGGTTACTGGAGCCCATAGACATCTACAACGTAAATGCGCCACCCACCTTGAGATATAAGTTCTAAGGTCTCATTATAGTTACAGTATAGTCTCAAAGTACGCCCCGTGTACTATTTATTATGAAACCTAGTAAGCTCTGCTGTTTTTTTGCGTATGATCTGATTGCTTCGTCTTCGGCCACATCAGAAGTCGTTCGAAAACAATGAACTCTCAAAATCGTTGTTGTGTCTTTGAGGTCTGCATGTTGTGGTAAAGTCATGGCGGTTAAAAAGCATTTGTGCGGAACAATCAAATTTTTTTAGCCGGTGTTCTTAAAGTTACTTGGTAACAAGCCGCATTAGTAGAAATTATACACAAGAAAATATTCTCCAATATCATCTTTGTATGAAATCGCATTTTGCTGTCTACACGATGACAGAATATTGTTACCATCAGGAATGAACAAAGACAATAGGAGACACCATACATTCTACTGTTGAAACCGCTTTATTTGCTTGCCCCCATTGGCTTCTGCCGCTAATCAGTTATCATTTGACAGAAATAGTCCTCATCTATTATCCTCATCTATTATCCTACCTAATTACTGAATTCCTACCATTTCAAACATTAAGACAAAAATTCTAGGATTGCAATCATACAGTTCGAAGTCTTTGTTACTAAAAGTCGGATCTGAAATATCGTTCACTATGTCTATGGATTCCCGTCCAGACCGTCTACGTTTGTAAGTTGGTAAGTTAAAATTAAAATTTTAAGCGAAAGTGATTTTTCGATTACATTTTGAGTGAATCAACTGTCCACCATTTGTGATGGTTTTCACTCATGCGATGCTGGATGCTGTGTGTTAGCTAGGTATTTAATTATATTTTATCATGAAACGTTTTGAAGGGGATATTTTATTAAAATTTTTACTGGTGGTAGGACCTCTTGTGAGTCCGCGCGGGTAGGTACCACCACCAAATCAAATCAAATCAAATCAAATCAAAAAATTTTTATTCAACATAAATGAAAGTACATACTTGTTGAACATCAAAAGAACTACCGCCAATTCACAAGAACTAGCCTCCGTCCTGAGAAGAATTGGCAAGAAACTCAGCGGGCATGTCTTTTTTTTTACATATAAAATTATTATTTATTTATTTTTTAATATTATTATTTTGCCCTGCCTATTGCTGCCGTGAAGCAGTAATGCGTTTCGGTTTGAAGGGCGGGGCAGCCGTTGTAACTATACTTGAGACCTTAGAACTTGTATTTCAAGGTGGGTGGCGCATTTACGTTGTGGATGTCTATGGGCTCCAGTAACCACTTAACACCAGGTGGGCTGTGAGCTCGTCCACCCATCTAAGCAATAAAAAAAAAAATCGTTGATCAACAAGATGAAGTTAGTATTTTATATAAGGTTTTTATCTTCACAATAAGAAGATCCGAGGTGTTACATAGGAGCTTAACATTCATTTTAATAGAATAATTTAGTGTACTTTGTATGAAATGGACCGCGATATGTGGTATTTGCGGGTATTCGGATTTTAGGTGTGTTTAGGTAGGACATAATTTTAAAGGTACTACGCTCTACTAGATGGTCAGTGTTTATTGATCAAGAATATGAGTAACGCCAGAAGATGGCTGCTACTGCGGAATTCTTTTGAAGAACCACACAGCACTCAGAGAAACTCCGTGGTACTCATTCAAGAGTAGGATGATAGGCCGCAAAAATGATACCTTATGCTTGAATACAGGGGTTCCCAATAGTAGAAAAGAGATTACCAATAAATCTTCCATCCTGTGATTCGTGCGTCTTCAGAACTTGGACCGTGTCATTTCAATACAAAAGCTAGGAGAACAGCAATAAGAGACTATTGAAATGTGAACACCAATTATTATTATTTTTTTATTGCCTTTGTAGGCAGATGGGCATACGGCCCACCTGATGGTGAGTGGTTACCGTCGCCCATGGACTTCAGCAATGCCAGGGGCAGAGCCAAGCCGCTGCCTACCGCTATTGGCTTAAGCACAGGCTCTTCTAGACTAGTGTTTTGAAAAACAACAATGATGTATTTGCTATCTACGTTATGACATGGTATCGACGAATTACAAAAACGCATTTATCAAACATTAAAAAAATGTTTTTAAGAAACTTCGAAGTTTTTTAAGACCCACTGTGACTTGTTTATTTTTATTCATTATATTAAGAAGTTCTGAGTATCCGTAAGATCTGATAAACATTTTACTTGAAATAGAAAGTTCGATTCGTATTTAGAACTTATATCAGATTACAGAAGTTTTTCGTTTAATATATTTTAACAATTGAATCGAGTCTTTTGTGAAGTATTATAAGTAGTAGTAGTATATTAATTACTAGCTGACCCGGCAGAATTTGTAGTGCATCCATCGATAAATAAAACAGCTAAACTTTTGTATAAAATAAACTTAAAACAAACAAAAGGACAGAAAGGTCCGACGGGGGACACATCAAAGGAAAAACAAAATTGTTATTTTTATTTAATTCCGAACATTTTCATATTTATCTACCTTTTAAACCTTCTCTCTCCACAAATAATTCAAGACCAAAATTGGCCAAATCGGTCCAGCCATTCTCGAGTTTTAGCGAGACTAACGAACAGCATTTCATTTATATATATGTATATAGATAAGATAGATTATATTTATTGGCAGGTCCAGTCGGATATTACCATTCTGCCGTAAGAATATTGTTCTGAAGTTACCTAGTAGTAATAGTGTTTTATTGGGAAAGGCTGAAGGATATTGAAAATTTTATATTCTTCTTAATTTACCCGATGCTCAATTAGAGCTTGTCAATTTAGTTTCTGGCCAACAACACTGATCTGTTTCAGTAGCAAGACCTCAGCTTTTAATGTTTAACAAAGCGTACAGCCCGTAAAACAAAAACTAAACTAAATTACTTTCAATTTTATATCGGGTTTCAATTATTTCACTGGTGGTAGGACCTCTTGTGAGTCCGCGCGGGTAGGTACCACCGCCCTGCCTATTTCTGCCGTGAACCAGTAATGCGATTCGGTTTGAAGGGTGGGGCGGCCGTTGTAACTATACTGAGACCTTAGAACTTATATCTTAAAGTGGGTGGCGCATTTGCGTTGTACATGTCTATGGGCTCCAGTAACCACTTAACACCAGGTGGGCTGTGAGCTCGTCCACCCATCTAAGCATTAAAAAAAAATATTCCAAAGAAACGTCAAAGAAACGTCAGAGATTCATTGTACCACGATGCATAGCGTCTTTGTAGTTACAGAGGAATGTCCTGATTAAGTTGTAATTTCTTAGTTTCTTTCAAGTTCTCCTAAATAGAAGTTGCTAAACATAATAATTCATATTTCATATTTCAAATACGGTCACAATTCCAAGTTTTTATTTATTAGATAGATAAATGAACCAGTCGTGAACAATGAAAGTGAATTATCGAGCTTACTCATCGTGCTCTTTGAGTCCATCTCAATATCACTTAATTTAGACTTTTACTAATTAATTTAGGGTTGTATATGTTTCCTTCAGTAAACAACCAACAACTGGCAGTGAACTCGGGCAAAATAAAATTCCTCACTTTAGCTCATCTTTGTCACCTAATGATTTTCATTATTGAGAAGTGAGAAAGGAGGATTCATATCAGCTACTAAATTATTTTGACGGTGCGTTTCCCAGGGTACATCGAGTTCATTCATAATGCACAGAGATTAGCATCAAGACAATTATGTGTCCGTCTCAGTGAATGTACAAAATGCACCCGCTAATTAGTCTTATCTGATGACGGAATCTGAGCAGCATCTAAACAAATGTAACTAAATAAAAAATATGGGTCAGAATGGTCATACATACCTTTCATCATCATAGCCATGGCGATAAGGCCACCCATTCCACCTTTCTTCCCGCCCATGCTCAAGGGATCCTTACTGCCTCTTCCTTCTGAAATTAGGTTTCTGGCCTCCTCAGCAGCAGAGTCATCTACTAGCTTCAACTTCACGGAATGACTGTCCAAGAATGACCCCACGTGGAATAGCAAGAACTTGTCGAGTCTGTCGTCAGGGTCTGTGGAAAGAGACCTGGCCAGTTCAGCTGCCACTGCTTCCAGCTTGGGTTCATTAGCTCCATCTTTGACCAGGCTCACTCCCGGAAACAAGGTTAATTCGTCCTTGGCATTGATTTTTTCTATAAGAGTAATTGCACCGATCTTAAGGCAGGTGGGATTTAGAATTCCATTGGCACAATCCTTCTTTAGAGCACGGGGTTTCTCTTTATTGTCACTGTCAGCTGGCAAG